TCAGATTGGAAGAAGCCAAAATCTCGGTAAGGCCTGTGGTGACTCACAGCAAGATGTTTTACATGGATTCCTTATGCACAAGAGTGACTGAGCTTGACACCACAACTAATAGCTTCTGATTATAAGATCTCCTTCACTACTTCTCTCTCGCCATGCGACCGAAATATCACAGATTTAACTTATTGACCAAGCATTGGACCAATCAAGCGTCTGAATTTTCAGAAGTGTCGAGAAAGGCCGGTAGATGTTCCTGTCCCAAGTCCCGGCATCCATGTAGACGTAAGTCTTCATCTTGTAGGAGCAAAAATTCAGGTAGTTCCTAGCTTGACCAGTGAAGCTGAGGCCACAATCGTCAAAATCGATCACATACTCGCTCACCACACCACGTTTCAAGTTAAACTCTTCGAGTTTCAAATCAAACTCCAAGATCTGGACCTTGAGCTCGCGGCACACTACCATCAAGATAGAGCTTGGATTTCCAAGTGACGAGATATGCTCGATTCCTGCCACCATTGGGCAAGGCGCAATTCGGAGATAACTATTGTCCTTTGTAACTTGATTCTTATCTTCACATTTCACGATTGTTTCTTACGCATGTCTCACCATCCTTGATGGGTGTTTCCATTCTACCCTTTGTGTTTGTTCCACCCCAGGAACTCGTGCTGCTTGTGCGCAAATTTCTTCACGCAGTGCCTGGTTCTTTGAGAACTTGAAGGATCCCGTTTCTTTTGTAGTTTGTCAAACTCCGAGCCTTTGTCCAGCCCCACACGGTTTGCCAATTCCGGCGATGGACACTGCCGCTGGAGATGACAGGTATCTGGCGGCTTGCCAGTTTTTGTATGAGATACACTGGCTTATCATGATCCTGACTGTAGCTCAACTCAAATTGCGACACAAAGCTACTGGAATTGTAACTATTGCTTCCTTCCATCGATTTGCTTCTCACACAGGGTAGTAACTCATTTCGTGAACAGGTGCTGATCTAGTCTTGGCTACTTCTTTTGTTTCCCACCAAACCTCTGAAGAAAACAAAAAACTGTTTCTTTTCTGAATCAGCCAAGTTTAAATGCTACAAACATTCAGTATATGATCTTTCTTCCTAGCTTGCACTTACACCACCAATCGGTGTAGAAAGTTGTGTACGACCAGACAAAGCTCCAGAACCACCAGCGGCCTCTGTTTTGTAAGATATCTCCGCTCACTTCTTGCCTTGATGAGCCACCTTCTCTCCAGCCGATGAAAATCTGCCACCGAAGTTCTATCACTCCCGACGGGGAGCATCACGGAGTGTTAAGCCACCGGCTTCAAGTTTTGATCCATGCCTGCGGCAACCACTGCACGTCCTGATGCATTTGCATCGAAAGCTGGAACTCAGTGAGGCAGGAGCCCTCTCTTCCTCCTCCCCCACCTCCTCCTGATCACCGAGAGGAAGTAGAGGACGAAGAGGAAGAGCAGCGCGACCAGCAGCCCGGCAAGGATTGGAAGAAGCAGCGGAGTTGCCGCCACAGCCGTCGCTTGCAAGTTGAGATCATTGGAGGAAGCCAGCTGAAGATCCGCATTGCTGTTGCTGCCGCCACCTTTGCTTTCCAACAGCGAGTTCAGGAAGGCATCACTGCTGCTAATGCCTTCTCCTTCAAACAACTCGATGAAATCACTGGCACTGCCGCTGCTGCTGCCCACCCCGACGTCATCCACTAAACTATGAGAGCTCGATATTGAAGTCTCTTCAGCTTCTTGAAAAGTTTCGGTGTTGATCCTCTTGGCCTTCCCACCATCCTTGCCCAAGCTTCGAGGGAACCACCGCCACATAAAAGGTGGTGGCGATGCTGGTGGTGGTGAAGCATTGCTACGAGCCTCCTTAGTGTCAACAGTGCCGCCAGCCAGTAACTTCTGAGATGGAAATCCTGTGGCTGCATGGGACTTTAGCACCTGTTCAATTTTCAATCTTAGTACGAATATATCTGATTCCTGTCAGCAGAGGCATACCTTGTAAGATGACTCCTCGGCCATTGCTGCTGCAAGTTCCTCACTGTTCTTGTATGGAAGCCTCCTGTGCATTCCCACGCCATCGCCTCGCAAGCTCCGCCAAAAGACTGAAGCTGGTGTCGATGAAACATCAGCTTGCCTCAACAACTTTCGAGATCCTGCTGCTGCATGAGACTTTAGCACCTGTTCAGTGTAGATCTTAGTACGAATACATATCTGATTCCTGTCAACAGAGACATACCTTGTAGGATGACTCCTCGTCCATTGCTGCCATAAGTTCTTGTCCTTCACTATTCTTGTCTGGAGGCCTCCTGTGCTTTCTCATGCTGCTGGTGCCATCGCCTCTCAACCTCTGCCAAAAGACTGAGGCTGGTGGTGATGAAACACCGCCTTGTTCTTCCCCATCTTGTTGAGCGCTCAGTGGAGCTATGAAGCGATCCACCCAGCGGAACAGAGAAGGTCCATTCTCGTTGGAGACGAAGATAGGAGGACCTGGCGCTGCTTCCAGAAGCATCCGTCGGGAACTGGTAACTGGGACTCGATGCCACCCCAGGAAGTTTGTGAGTTCTTCCCATAATTCCTGGGACGTCACCTCGTCCTCCTCCAAGCCCGCGTTCAAAAGCCTACTCCACATTTCTTCCTTTATCGACTGGAGACTGGTCGGTAGCTTCCAAGTCCACTCTCCAACTAGCTTCTTAAGTTCCTCCACCTCCAGATGCAAATCGGCTCTGGACGGTAGCTCAATCGACGGGAGTGTCCAGGTCTGAAAGAAGCTCTGGATATCCTCCCAGCTCAGGTTGTCGTCGTTGTCGTCGATTGCAAGCGTCTTGCCACCGAGAGAAGTATACCGAACTGAATCCTCAACGCCAGCCATGACCGCCTCTAGCTGCAAGAAAAGGTTGGTGCGGTTCCAGGCAAACCATCTAAGCTCTCGGAGTTACCTCTTGCGAATCATGGTTGTCATCCTCGAGTACAGGTAATGGTGGTGGATCGTACTCGGGAACACTTGATGCTGCCGCGTGACTAACTGCCTCGAGCTGCGAGGGTGATGCTGGCGAGGACGAATCCTCCAGCTCGATTGGAGCAACCGGCTGCAAGAGAAGATTAGCTACATCTGGAGTTACCTCTTGCAAGTCATGCTCGTCATCCTCCTCGAGTACAGGTGCATCATACTCGGGAACACTTGATGCTGGGTCACTGCTGGCGATCACTGCCTCGAGCTGCGAGGGCAGTGCTGGGAAATCCTCCACTTCCTTGTCCGCTGTTGCTGCAGGAGTCTGCCGGCACGCGAAAAATGTCAAGGAACAAGAAAAAATGAGAGAAACGAGCGAGCTGTACACACCTCAAGGAGGAGGATCTTCAATCCCCTGCTTGCCTGTGTGCTTGCCTGTGCTGGAGCGCGTCGCAACCAGGAGAACGCCAATGCTAGAGCTTCCATCGCCGCCAATATAATAGGGCAGGGTTACTATGTAAAGTATCGATTTAGAAATTTGTGAGAGACAAGGAATATTATCGAAGGAATATATATAAAGAGATTTGTTTGGATCTTGCGAATCTAAGGATCATCAGCGGCCTTCTTTCAACCGCTAATCTTAAGAAAACGTCATTTCTTGTTTCGTCAAAAACGTCACCAAGGGAGAGAAGAACCGCAAAAACCACTACAGACAAGATGCATGCCTCAAATTTTTCCAAAAGTGCAACTGATGATTGTATCGCCATTGGCATAGTGAAACGTATTGCTCTTGCCTTAGGACCCAATTTCCATCGTAGAAGATCGTCCATCTACCTTGGAAACGTAGAATCACGACGAGAAGAGAAGGGATTTACGATCGTTACTTCATTCATTTTCGGTTGTCCTTGTCCACAACATCCTTTATACGAACCATCTCCACCGATGGAGGAGTTCGCTCGTTTTCCTGGTGAAACCACGCCTTATGCTTTGTCCAGTGGTTGCCACACCATCATGTTAATCACTCGGTAAATTTTCCTTCGTTTTGGAACCATCGAGCTGGCGTATAGTTGTCATCGGTTCTGTTCACGGAAGGAAGATTCCACTAGTTCTCGCCTTCGTCATGTACATATGCACGAAGATGAAACACAAGTACGAAGTGAGGCACAGGGTGGCCGGCCTGGGACTGGTGTACAACGAGCTCGTCCACATGTCCCTGTATCCATACCTCACGTATACGTATGTGGCAGCTCTTGGGGCCCTTATCTCGCGAGGAACTGTTGCGACTGGCACGTATCTGATGCAGAAGAACACCGGGAGGTAAGTGTTAAACCTGTGGAAAATCCCCACGGCGTGGCTATTCGAGCAGCTGCTGGTGGAGTTCCTGGAGAACTTTATCTTCGCGTGGAGGTTTTGGAACGAGCAGAGAACGCCGCCGCCGCCAACAACGAGGCCGCTTCTGCTGAGGAGGAGGTTCGAGGAGGACTTGATGGTGGCGGACAACGACGAGCTAGGAGCTGGCTCGTCCGTGAGCGAGGACGATTCTCTAGGAAGTATCGAGAGACGGGGATCGCCTACTTGCTCGGCCACGGCGACGTGCGAGCTCGGAACTCGTTCTTCCTCAAGGAAGTGCAAGCATTCCGTCCGGCCATGTACTCCAGCTTGAAGAGCGGACAGTGGTAAGTTCTTTGCGGAGGACAACTAGATCGAGGACAGCAGCGGCAAGCTCATGCGATGGTGGCGCCACACGGTGATTGTCCGCAGCCAGACCGCCTGGACAAGCGTTGATATATTCCAGGCATGAGAGGAGGCTCTCCGTTTGGAATCCTTTTCTCGGGAAGAGTGGGCTGATTACGCCTTGCCTAACAATGCCTGCCTTGTAGTGAAGATAGAGCTTGGAAATTCAAGCTCTATGTAGTGAAGATACAGTTTATAATTTTATGGTTGATCTATACCTTTACTTTATTAATCTCGTGGCCAGGCTTCCCAAGCATGTCATTTGGAAAGTGATATAGTTTCCTGAGCTGCAAGAACGGTAAACTATGCATTTGATTTTGTGACGCAGTAAAGAAAAATGGCCATATTCACAGTTTACGATTATTTCCAAAAAGAATCAGTCACGGTTTCACCGTGTTTAATGGGTGTTTACCATGGAGCACACCCTCCTGATTTCCCCATTGTGCTTGTTCTTCCACCCAATGTATCCCATCTTCACCATCGAGGCCGCAAACTGCGACAAAAAGTCGTGCTGCTTGTGCGCAAAGTTCTTGACGTAGTGACTTGTTCTCGAGTCCTCGTTGAGAACTTGATCCGACGTGAGGACCCCGTTTCTCCTGGCCAAGTTCTTGTGGTAGCTGTTGTCGAACACAAACTCCGAGCCTTTGTCCAGCGCCACACGGTTTGGCGACCCCGGTGCTGGGCACTGCCTCCGGAGATGAGAGAGGTATCTGGGATTGATGGTCGGGTCCGGCTTGCCAGTTTTCGTAAAGTTGTCCAAACGATTGCTGAATGTGGCGCAGCCGGCGGTACCAAGAGTGTGACCACCTGTGGTTTGCAAGGGAGTAGCGTTAATGCCTACTTACAAACTGGAGGGAAGGAGATGGAAGTTGAAATCGATTCGTACCTGAGAGAACGACGAGGTCCTGGACTGACAAGCCGCGCTCCTTGAAGTTTTGAATGAGAGCCGAGGCATCGCCAAACGGGGATGGTAAGGTGTTGCCACGTTCCTGGCTGGAAACTCTTCCGTCGTAGCGTCCGGTTGGGACTTGGTAATACTTTCCTCCAAGCTGCAGTGACAACGTCTTAGAACTTGATTCAGCGTTTCTCAAAAGATGCTAAGCTTACCATGACGGTCGAGTCTCTGGCAGCTATGGCGAGAGTGTCGGCACAGGAGACAACTCCAGGACAAGCTGCTTCCAACCTCTGCTTTGCTTCCTCAATCACCTCGAAGCCCCTGGCGGACATGAAGTTTGGAAGGGACAATTTTTCCACTTTAGTTCCGTCGGTGGGAGTTGAGTCGAGAAGAATCGATCCATCACAGCCCTGGAGAACAGCAAAGTTAGAAAACCAGAATTTAAATCTTGTAAAGCTACTCACGTCGACGAAACAGTCGTGGAAGTGCAAGCGAAGAACTCCTGCTGGTATCGTCCTGTCCCAACCGGCGTGCTTGCTTAGAGTGTCCCTTATGATCCTCTCGGCCTGAGGACAAGATCTCGAGTAGCTGTGGTAGCCATGCTTGCGTCCTCCACTCTCACCGTGAGCCAAGATACCCAAGCTCAGTGACAGCAGGAGCAAAACCAAAACGCTCCCTCTCCAAGTTTCCATCCTCGTTCTAAACTTCTTCAATCACTTGGCACTCCTTCTTCCTCCTCGAATTCTCTTGGCAGTGATCGATGATCCGCAGATGAGCGTCGCTCCTTGATGAAATGAACCACTGATACAAGGCTCTTATAGTCCAAGCTACTCGTAACTTAGTCGTCATAAACCGTGTCTGCTGCCTCTGATGACTGTTTCCAGGCTTAAAAAACCCATTGACAAGGTCCAAATCCAGGGAAGCTTGCGCTCATAGATTTGACGAAGTCCAAGCTCTGCACGAGAAATAGGAAAATCCAGCCAACTAAAGTACAAAAGAAAGGTTCCGAAAGGACGTACTTCTGTAGGCCGCGCTTTTCTATTGCATTTCCAAGCTTTGACTTAGTTCTGTTTGTTATGTTTTTGCTTTTGCTTTTTCTTCTTCTTCTTCTTCATGATGTTCTTGCCCTTCTTATTCTTCTTGTTTTTCTTCTTTTTGTCTATGACAGGAGCAGCAACGGACAGCGACGAGCTCGGCCCCGCTGTTCTCTTCATCGATTCCTGGAGTGAACCATCGCAAAGATTTTGGACCAGAAAACACTTTAAACGATCCATGTCTGTACCTCCTCAGAGTCCGAAAAAGAAGTAACGTGACGGATCTTCAATCCGGTGGAATGCTTCCCTGGAAACAACACACAAGAAAACGAAGAACATCGTAAGACAATACATACATTTGCTTTAAGCTTACCTGGATTAACAGCGGCTTTAGCATTGAGCACTGCCCTCTCCACGATATCTGGATCCAGCGAGCTGAGACTCCCAGGCTCCTTGAGCTTCCTCTCCAGGAACTTAGCCAATGCCGCAGCTTTGTTGGTGGTGAGCGCTCCCCCTGGATGAGCCAGCCTTGAATGTCGTCAAAAACACCTGCGATTTCCCTGTGGATTGCACGCATACCTGGGCTGCGCATTCCCCGATCGATCAGGATCCTGCTGCAGCGGCGGAAATTTGCTGCCGCGCAGCGCCCGCCGCTCTGCCTCCGTGAGCTCCTCCATTTGCCCTAACTTTAGGGTTCTTAACAAATCAGGGACAGCATATCCGCAAAGCATCTTTTAAAATTTAAAAACCATCCTCGATTCCCGTTGTGGAAGATGGTCCACGCAAAGCACGCCGTAGCACGGTAGTTTTTTAATCCCGTTGGATTCTTACCGCGGTTTAATCACCCACCTAACAGACAGTAATTTCCAGTACCACCAACAACACCGTGTCCTATATTCCATTGGTCACGGGCTATGGACCACAGTACGGCCGCGAATCTCTTTACAATCTCGATAACAGAATAAACGATCCTACCGGTATATGCTGTCTCCACTGACGGCAGTGGCAGCCTTCGCTGGAGTTTTCTCGCTTCCTTCCTTTCGCAAAGCCTAGCTAGAGCGCGATAGAAGTGATAGAAGTGATAGGAGAGAGAGAGAGATCGAATGAGAAAGAGAGAGGGGAGAGCGTTTGCGTGAGTGAGAGGGACGAGAAAGAGATGGACAAGAAGAACAGGGATGTTGTGTCGTCAGGAATCTTGTGCGCGGGCGCTCAATGCAGATTTTCGGTCGCCGATCGCCGCCGCGGCGGCTAGGCGCTGCCGCCGATGCTGCATTCTAGGAGCTGGCGAGGTTTTGCTGCGATCCGCGGGGAGCATTTGGTTCTAGAGGCGAGCGCGGCCGAAATTTCGTGGCGATGGATCCCGAGGTGTCGTCTGTCGGAGGCAACAGCTTCATCGACCTCAATCCTAAGGTATGGATGGATCTTTGCTGCGATTTCGGGGCTGCCGCGGCGCCGGGAATCCCCAATTTCGATCCGGACTAACCGATGGATGGTTTGTTTGTTTGTTCTTGGCAGAGCTACCGGAGGAAATCCCTCAAGGCGGTGCTGCTCTTGGCGTACCAGAGCTTTGGTGTGGTCTATGGAGATTTGAGCACCTCTCCTCTCTATGTGTACCGGAGCACATTTTCGGGAAAGCTCCAGCTCCACGAGGACGACACGGAGGTTTTGGGGGTTCTCTCGTTCATCCTTTACACCCTGACACTCATTCCTTTACTCAAGTATGTTCTCATCGTACTCCGTGCTGATGACAACGGCGAAGGTGGGTGGTGGTGGTGGGAGTTTTTGATTCGTAGCAAGGTTGGAGAGGAAAATCTCGAGAGATAGATAGACTTTTAGGAGAAGTTTTCTAGTTTTTGCGAATCACTCTCACTGGTTTTGGTGTTTTGTCCTTCTGTTGCAGGTGGAACATTCGCGTTATATTCACTGCTGTGCAGGCACGCAAAGTTAAGCCTCTTGCCAAATCAACAGGCGGTTGACGAGGAGCTATCGACTTACAAGCTCCAGAACGTCAGGGAGAGCTATCGTGGGGCAAGGATGAAAGGGCTCCTGGAAAGGCACAAGAGCCTCCGCATTGCTTTGCTGCTAGTGGTTTTGCTGGGGACGTGCATGGTGATTGGTGACGGGGTTTTAACTCCCGCCATCTCGGGTAATAAGCTTTGCTTTTCCTCTTTTTTTTCAACGCTATCTGTAACTAATGGACGGCTTTCAGTTCTATCTTCTGTTTATGGCATCAAAGTGGCTGTCGATGACCTCAACAAGCGTAAGGCCAACCTTATGGTTTTCTTGTCAGTGAGACTTATGCTGTGCATTTTCTTGTTGGCTCGCAGACGTAGTAGAACTGATCGCCTGCCTCATTTTGGTGGGGCTTTTCGCGCTGCAGCACCATGGCACGCACAAGGTGGCATTTATGTTCGCTCCCATAGTGCTGGCCTGGCTATTCAGCATCGGCGCCATTGGAATTTACAACATCGCTCGCTGGAACCCTCACGTCGTCCGAGCTTTATCCCCTTACTATATGTACAAGTATTTCAAGAGAACCGGATTCGATGGCTGGATATCTATGGGAGGAGTGCTGCTTTGCATCACAGGTTTGCTCAATTATACGATATACAACGCTCGTCCGCGGACTGAAGCACTCTACTTTTGCAGGCACAGAGGCCATGTTTGCAGATTTGGGACACTTTTCTGAGCTGTCTATCCAGGTGAGAGCTGTGATTCCCCGAGCTGAGATCACTGTGTGTATTTGTGTTTGCAGATTGCTTTTGGCTGTGTCGTTTATCCTTGCCTGGTTTGTGCTTATATGGGCCAAGCCGCCTATTTGTCTCGTAATCACAGCGACATTGAGGGCAGCTTCTACAAGTCGATCCCAAGTATGTCATTGTCCCACTGTTGTTATTGAATACTTATGTGTTGCTGTCACAGAGCCTGTTTACTGGCCAGTTGTCGTCATAGCAACACTTGCGTCAGTGGTGGGGAGCCAGGCAGTGATCTCAGCAACCTTCTCAATCATCAAACAGTGCATGTCCTTGGGCTGTTTTCCAAGGGTGAAAGTCGTCCACACATCAAAAGACATATATGGACAAATCTACATTCCCGAGGTTAATTGGATACTGCTCATCCTCTGCCTGGCAGTCACTCTGGGCTTTAGAAGCACAATTTTCATCGGCCACGCTTATGGTACGTTTGTATGAAAACTTCGTGTTTGTGTTGAAGACTTATCCTCGCAAATGTGTCATGATCACACAGGACTTGCTGTCATCACGGTCATGTTTGTGACGACGTTCCTCATGTCACTGGTGATTGTGATCGTATGGAAGCGGAGCATCATCCTTGCCATCATCTTTTTCATGTTCTTCGGCACGATCGAGCTCATGTACGTCTCATCCGCGATGCTCAAAGTACACGAAGGCGGCTGGGTGCCGCTGGCGCTATCCGTGTTCTTCGTCGCGGTCATGTACACTTGGCACTACGGCACGGCGAAAAAGTATGACTTTGATCTCCAGAACAAGGTCTCTATGAAGTGGCTGCTCACTCTTGGGCCGAGCCTCGGCATCGTCCGTGTCCCTGGGATCGGGCTCATCTACTCGGAGCTCGTCACTGGCGTCCCCGCGATCTTCTCCCACTTCGTCACCAATCTTCCGGCCTTCCACCAGGTGCTCATCTTCGTGTGCATCAAATCGGTCCCAGTTCCCTACGTCCGGCCAGAGGAGAGGTATCTCATCGGCCGCATCGGTCCCAAGGAGTACAGGATGTTCCGGTGCATCGTGCGCTATGGCTACAAGGACGTCCACAAGGACGACAACGATTTCGAGAACCAGCTTATCTTCAACGTTGGGGAGTTCATCCAAACCGAGGCATCGAGCACTTGGGCCCCGTCGAGCAGCGACCACTCGTCCGTTGACGGGAGGATGACGATGATGGGATTGCCGCTCCAGTCCAGCATCAAGATGGTAACCTCGGGGCTGGAAGACAGTGACAAGCAGTCGATCAGATCGCTGTCCCTGGGCACGCCGGAGATCGAAGCTTTGCAACCAAGGAGGGTGAGGTTCGAGCTGCCGAGGAGCCCGGAACTGGATCCAGACATCCGGGCGGAGCTGACGGAGCTGTTTGATGCCAAGAACTCGGGGGTGGCGTACATGCTGGGGCACTCGTATGTCAAGGCCAAGCGCTCCTCGTCCTTCATGAAGAAGTTCGTCATCGACGTTTGCTACAACTTTTTGAGAAAGAACTGCCGGGGGCCGGCTGTAGCACTCGACATTCCTCACATTTGCCTCATCGAGGTGGGAATGATTTACTACGTCTGAAAAAAAAAAAACTTTGAATCTCAATTTAAAACTGATTCAGAGTCTTTTCTTTTCTTTTAGAAAAGGTCTGAGATCAAACTCCCAAGCCTGTAACTCTATTGCACTGTCCAGCTGCAAATCTTTGACAGCAATCCCATTGGCAAAGGATGTGGGTACTCAAGACTGAAGACTGGAGGGATCAGGAGTGATAAGTTTTCAATTTGTATCCATTGTTTTGTTCTTAGCTCAAAAATGGTCCTACTATATGTAGCCCTAGAAAATTGCAAAATATCTTATATGGAGGTAAATCTTACTGGGACACAAATCATGGCCCTTGGCCAACCAGTTACAAAAAGATTCTTCCATGAGATGGTGGAAAATAGAAATACCTTAGCTATATTATGTACTCCAAAAACCCTTGATGATCTGAGATTGGCAGCAGCACAGTTCTAGTCAGGCTATATTTGAAGTTACAATGCCAGGAATAAACATCAGTTTGTGGGAACAACTGTGTAGTACCAGTTCAGGTTCCTCGTCTCTTGAATCCAGTCTTTGGCCTCTTGAGCTCTTGGCCTAGAAGAAAGAAATCGTACATCAAAGGCTCAGCCAACTTCAGATGAAATTGTCAATCAATGACTCCATTTCAAGAGGGATGACAAATGGTGGTCTGACCTCAGAAAATGGACAAGGCAGATAGGCTTTGATCTGGATCCTTCAAGATCCCATTGATTACTCCTGGAAGATGCCTCATGCCTTCCAGTTATGGCTCTCCCAAAGGACAGTGCAGCAGTACAACATCTACCATGCCATGCTGAATCTTTTAGGAGCTGCAAGAGTCACTAATTCCTGGATACTAAGCTGCAGTATTTTTAACAAACGAAATGGATTAGGGCAGCAATCCACATATCTACTCGAGCACACTCTTTAATTCTGGATATCACAGCCTCCAAGTTCTAATAGACCACCAAATTCAAATTTGTTTTGATGTATATCAAATTAGTTACAGTATTTTCTTTGGTTGGCCGCTTAAGATCAGGATCAAAAATAAAATTACTACAAAAATTATGTAGCTAAGACTATTGTATATAGGTCAATTTAAATTTTGAGATAAGCTAGATCTAAACAAACACAAATCTAAGTAATCTTCAGGTGCCTTCACTAAATATGCATATTCAATTAACCCAAAAACATATATATAGAATGAAATCAATTCATACCCTAATATTAATATATTGCATTGTAGTTCATATCATCCCCTCATATGGAAGGCAATTAAAGTTCTTGGTTAATCAAAATCTAGAGGAACATCAAGAGGAAGCATCAAGTGAATTTGTAAGTGGTGCAATTTGCTTTTATAAAGCACTTCAATTTGCTATATATATATATAAAATTTT